AGAGACGGCACATACCTCTGTAGGTAAAAACACGATAAATTCATAAAGTATACAAATGGATAAAAGTACTCCATAAATTCTATGGGGCACCTTAATTTTAATAAAAATTAATCGAAAGCTTCGTAAAGACATCCAAAAGTGTAGTTCGAGATGTTAAAGGCTGTTTCAAAAAATATGGAAGATGAAGAAAAATGAAATTTTTATTCCAATGAATTTTGACATATATTGTAAAAAAAAGGTTTAAACACTTAGGTTAACTGGGTAGGCCCGAAGAGATTAGGATTTTGTAGAATTAACTCATTATTTATTACTGCCGATACAACCTGGCCAGTAAAAGTGAACTTTTAGCCTTAAGCAAATACGTTGACAAATTAGTGAGAGAGACATGCATCTTATGCCATATAGCGCTCAGTACTAATAAATGGATGATAAGTGGTAATAAATGTCTTTTATTTGACAAGGTTATGAAAGAGTGATACAATTCGATAAAGGTAAAAAATGTATCAATTGACTCCCCATAAAGGTATAAATTTATTGGAAATGCTGGATATGGTATTACACAAATCGAGAATAACAATTGAGGATATTTCATAAACAAGTTCTAATGGTGAAAGAAATTTCAGATGGCAACAAGATCATTTAAGTAGTTTCGAAGCGATTTCCATTAGTAAAAATATTGTGGACGATCTGCATTGAAAGACTAATAATATATTAGGCTCAAATTAGCTTAAAAATGAAGACCAATAAAATAATTGCGAAACTGTGTATTTGTAAAAAAGCCGATGTTGGTGAGACCTCATAAATACTATAACAGTAATAAGCATGAATGAACGAAAGCTATAACCTGAGGATAGATCATGTGAAGACAAAAGATAGAATGAACAACAAACTGAATTGAACATAGAAAGGAATAAATTAACAATATCAATGTAAATGACAATAAGAGATAAACCCTAAAAGATTTAATTATTAATGAATTTGTATTATTAGTATCTTGCTATAGCTACCTTTGAAAGTTCGAGGAACTCCCTCTTGCCGACAAGCCATGTAGAGACAAGCAGTGGAGACTGCATCGTTGCTTCTACCTCTGAGATGGCGAGTCTCGTAAACCTGCTTAAAGAGTCGGTTTGCATGATCCTGTGTATGGATATGAAAATGGCAATGATTCGAAAAAATTATATGTAAGATGCAAACACTGGACTGAAGCGGATAATAAGACCAAAGAAAATATCAAGACTAAGAATATCTGTCCAGAACTTTGCTCCAGAAAATAAGTATGCGAAAACCAAGGCATTGAATATTTAGCCCCAATAGACCTATATGAATAAAGCAGCAATAATAGTACACAAGAAAGAAAATAAGGTGCCCACACAACAAATACTTGATAAAATCGACTAGTATTTTAGCCTTCATTAAAATATTAATGCATGATACATTGCATCAGGATTAAATGAAATTGATAATTAAGCAATACTAAAACAGTCCAGCTAGTTGAACGACTTACGGATATACTTTTTGGTAAATTAAGTCGCTCTCCCATCTGATTAATCTCACGAAAGGCTCCCAAAAGAGCTCTATCAGGAGCAGACAGGTTTCTTCTACTTTTATAGAGTGGTCTACCTTGGTCGTCGAATTGGCGAGAATCGGAAGGAGAAGGGCCTCCAATTATAGTAGATAAGTCTCCACTATCGAGTAGCGGATTTTCTGCTGCACCTACACGGCACATATCTTTAGAGCTGGTATCATTTGAAAAAGTTCTCCATTCAGAGCTCACATCAATGACTCTATCTAGTAATGTAGAAGATAGTCATACCTATCAGCAACAACTAGTCCACATATGGCACATACCATATCCCCTGCATGAGAATCTTCGATAAGAGCCGCATAAGGATGATATTTACATTCTAATCTGCTCCTAATTCAACAACTAAATGAAGGGGTTACAGACATACATTTGGACAGATCGCGAGTTGGCCAAGCCGCATAGAAAGTAAGCTCACACCCAAATGCCGTAAAGCTCAGAGTAAATTCTTAAATAATTTTTTTATATCTCTTCTTTGATTTCTTTTTATTTAATTATAGAATTTTCTCTCCTTTAAAAACATGCAATTTATCCTAATCTACATTAATAGGTTGTTATTGAATATAAAAGTGGGATATTATGGAGGCTTATATCCTTGCATATTCACAGGAGTGCTGCATTCTTAGCAATAATTTGTGCTTAATATTTTCTCTACATACTGCCACACATGCTTATTAGCTTGTACAACAAGATTCATCCGTTCTCATCTGGTGAGATCGACCAACGAATCTCTTCTTCATTCACTTTCATACGAACTGAAAGTCCCCCTAACAATATTATCTCAAGAGATTCATCGAAACCAAGTTTTCCTTCATATCTCGGAAATGAGCCAGTATGCATACAGAACTCCATTCAGACTGATTATAGCATATGTTAAGAAGCAGCAGAATGCTGAATATGATATTTAGTAAGAGAATAGATGCCGGTAGTTTAAGATTATATGAGAGAAAGTAGCTGCCTCAGTCATGATTAAGAGAATTAAAAACCGCAAAAAATGTATTAGTAAGGAAACAAACTGGTGAAAAACTTTAAAATAGTGTACAAGAGCTTCGTAAAATAATATTCCTCAGCTCTATTGTTACCAGATGCATAAACTGCTTTAAAGCACTAAGAAAGCAAATAATATGGACAATTTGTCAATTCTTAGCAGTAGAAAAAGATATTTAAATAAATAAAGAAAAATTATTTTGGTAAAACTCACAATAAAATATGTATTCTAAGCCTATTACTGCACTAAAATCTCAAGAATTAGATAATCTATTGAGACGTTAAAACGAAAGTGGTTTGAGAAAGACAATAAAAGTATTTGGACATTTGAAAAATTTTAGTGGCGAATTCGAACCAATGAAGCCAGGGTACTTTTGTAGTTAATTTTCAGATGGGTCTAGAGATTTTACACTGTTTTCTGAAAATGGAAGTTTCGTTTTCGCTATATTGGTATAAGATGTTTCACACTCCAATAGTTTCTCAGAGAACATAATCATAGTCATATTCTGAAGAGAGATTAGAAGACTTTGGAAGACCTGAAGTGTAAGCAATAAGCACTCCATTCGAAATCAATCAGCCAATATCAGGAATGGATTCCATGCTGGTGTTTAACAGGGATTATATTTTAAGTTCGATCGAAAGCTTTACTTGTTGTCTTTCGTTTATAAGTAGGGTTTCTAACCTACCAGTAAATCATTTATATGAGATGCATTCACCCTATTTCGTATAAGGCAATAATGGACTGGTAGTTGAATTTCCCCACAATTATATGAATAGAGCCGACAATTCTAGTGAATTTCACATTGCCTTGATTTCCTAAAAGGTGCTCTCATTTAGGTTAACTGCAGTCTCAGCCTTGCCTGGGTCTTATCAATACCCCCAGCTCGAATAGGAAATGACAGGGCAGCGTGTAATTTCGATACGTTAACCACTACACCACATTTCGACAAATGCTGTTAGGTCACATCACATATAACTGATTTACTGGTAATCTTTAGACCAAGCTTATAAACCAAAAATATGTGATGTAGTCGATTGTCATAGCAAATATAACTTTGCTTCATCGACAATCCCACCAACGAATGTGATATAAGAAAATGCCTGGCCTTCTCCCAAATTCACGTCCTCCTAATGACTAGAGGGCACTCGTGACAATATGGCCTAATGTTCACTGTGTCGAGATTACACGTTTCACTTTCAAAGGGGTATTGATAAGATCCAGGCGAGTTCGAAACTACAGTCCATCCTGGATGGGAACACCTTTTGGGAAATCAAAATTATGTGAAATTTAATGGAAACGGCAGCTTTATACATATCATCGTAGGAAAATTTTACTATTAGTACTTTATCTTCTTAACTGATATAAGGTGAATGTATCTCATATAACTGATTTACTGAGAGTTTCAAACCCAATTATGAACTAAAAATAATAAGCAAAGTTCACAATCGAACTCAAACGTTTATCCTTGCAAATTGAATAAGCAAATGATATGGGTGGATTTGGTGCGCTTTATTTTAAACTCTTGGAAGGAAGTTTAAACTTCACTCTTGTTTTAGTAGAGGGCTTCGTTTTAGCTCTTTAGATCTTACTTTGTGATGCTACCTCTTTCACAGACATTA